ACTTTTTTCACTTAAATTTTTTAAATGTTCCGGAAAGTCTGACACTTTTATCTATATCTTAAATTAAAGCTAACGTAATGTACTATTTTATTTAAAAAAATTTCGGAGTTAATTTTGTCTTCACGATGAAATTGACTACCGTATACTATTTTTGTGTGAAAATTCTCGATTTTATATTTTACATTTTTTACTTTAAAATGCTATAACTTTTTGAAAAATGTATGGATCAGCACAATTTTTTTATGAGAAATAATATTTTTTAATAATCTCTTTTTCATTCGACATACTTTATCTTAATCAGGATATTAATAAGGAAATAGCAGATCATGTAACTTTTGGAATAATCCACCAATTTTCGAAAAATAAACACAAATTTTGAACTTGTAAGATTCATAGAATGGGATACTGTCTAAGAAGGAGTGGAGGGACCCCCCCACAATCTTTTCATGGTAAACAAATTATGGAAAATGATACAAAGGCCCAAAATTGTTGGCCCCTCCAATAAACATTTTCTGGCTACGTGCCTGTTCCGAACTACATTTCAAAAAATGTTACTGACCTTTTATTAACTCTTTAAAATTAGAATACAAAATATTGAGTATCCATTTTATACTAAATTTAATTAATATATGTATTTATTCATGTATTATACTTATAAATCATAAAACTTGTAATCAGGATGTACTTAACGAAATTGGAATTAATGTTACTTTTGGAATAGTTTAACAATTCCTTCTAAAATTTGAACATTATCTACAGATTTTTATTGGAGCGTTTTTTATGATAGTGATTTTAATCACTGTCAGATATTATTTTTATTTGTCTCAACTATATTACGTTTCCAGTATAACGTGACTTCACTGTGCTGTGTTTTTTCTTTTACATTTTTTTTTTTTTATTAATTCTTATTTGTAGGTGTTGGATACCAGATACTCTATGGTCAACTGATATTACTAGGGAAGGGATAAGTGCAGTGGTTTCCCGTTGCCTTCTACATTTGGGACATGGTGCTTTTACCTCCGTAAAAAGCACGTATGGTCACCCATCCGTACACTACGGTGGCAGGCGTAGCTTAACACTAGGGTTTTGTCTTAGTTAGCACAGCACTGTTTTTTATTCGTGTTTCACAGCTATACACTCTATACATTGCATGTTGCAATATTTTTTCTCATCTTAATATTAGGCTATATTTTTGTAATTATCTATATTATTATATATTATATTACTATATATGTTAAATATTCCTTTTGTCATAGCTATCCCTTAGGTACCACTATAATGTTTATAAACTTAAAGTGGCCTTTAAATTAAGATTCTGCATAAATTATTTCAATTTATATTTATGAACACTAATGGAAAGAGAACTTATAAAAGAGTGAGAATTTTCAAATTTATTCACAATGAATTTATATTTCGTTACATAAGACATTCAATATTGTTTACTGCGATAGAATAAAAATACGCAATTAATAAACTTGTTGTATAAGATGTTTAAAGAAAATACTATTTATTTTTTCTAGTAAGTACAACAGATAATATTACATAGTTACACAATAAAAAATGAGAAATGAAATACCCTTATAGGTATTTTATTTTTAGTCAACAAATTCCGAATTGGTTCATGAGCTTAATATATTACATGTATACAGATTGGTACATATCTTATGAATATATTTTGCAATTACAAATAATATTTAAAAAATAAATTTTTTTATTAAAATTTTTTTTAAGATTTGAAGATAGCCATTTTATATTTACGTTTTAAAGATAAATTATAAATAAAAAAAACATATTTTATGTAGTCCTATGTTGTAAACATTTAATAAATATAATGTAGAATCTACATTATAGATCATAAGTTATATTAATTGTCAATTAGGTCTGTCCCACTCAGTGTATATATATATAATTTATTTTACTTATTACATAAAAAAAAAGAAAATAATTTTCATAAAGTTTGTGCTGTTGACATAGCTTTTTATTTTAAACAGTAATATAATGATCATTGCTTTATTATTAAAATTGTAAAGAAAAATCTCTCATGACAATGAATTATTACTTTTGTTTAATTAATTTGTTTTATTTTCAGAAATGAAATAATAATAATGATATATTGATGATAATGTGTTTGAAAAATGTTCAGAGGTTTTTATAGGTTATAATTTGATTTATTATTAGAAAACAACGCACGTGGTACCCCTAATTATATATTTATTATTTATTTGTAATATTTAGAAGCATCTAGTTAAATATTTCATATTTATTCTATACAGGGTAATTTTTTTATCATAACCCACTCAATTACTTACAGAATAATAATAATTAAAAAATTTTTTTTTATTATTATCTTTAGTTACACATTATTCTTGAATTATTAACTATGTAATACTTTTTAAGTTCATCCCTTATGCCTGGTAAGGGTGTCAACTTTGTTTTTTTAAATGGTAACACATATTTTTAATTTAATAAAATGTTTGAGTTTTTAATTCAATAGTAAATGGCATTTGAATTTTTAATAAAACTTAATTTGTTTATTAGATATAAACATTTAAAGTTTCAAATAATACACAAGGAATTACAAATACAGGTAGCTAATTGGTTTTTTATGATATTGCTATCATAGTCACGGATTGTTTATTATCAATTATGACTATCAATAGATATACTTTTTACAGTACAGTTAGTGTATTTATAAACTCATAACAATGTGCCTTACTACAATTGATAATAACAATGCTGTGTACCTGCTAATATCGATGTTATAAAAAACCAATTAGCTACCTGTATTTGTAATCCCTTGTGTATTATACCTATATATTAACTCAAAAATTTGAAACTTTAAATGTTTATATCTAATAAACAAATTAAGTTTCATTAAAAATTCAAATGTTATTTACTATTGAATTAAAAACTCAAATATTTTATTAAATTAAAAATACGTGTTACCATTTAAAAAAACAAAGTTGACACCCTTACCAGGCATAAGGGATGAACTTAAAAAGTATTACATAGTTAATAATTCAAGAATAATGTGTAACTAAAGATAGTAATAAAAAAAAAAATTTTAATTATTATTATTCTGTAAGTAATTGAGTGGGTAATGATAAAAAAATCACTCTGTATACTGATCTATAGTAAAAAAAAACCATAATGGCTACGCTATTAGTTGCTACAAAATTCTATATATCGTCGTTTTATAATTTTTTTTTCCTAACCAAAAAAAAATATTAAACACATGTATACTCTAAATTAAACTCTAAGTTAAACTCAAAAGCATATCTAGATTTTTTATGGATATAGATATTCACCTTTTTAAACAGCGTAGTTGTCTAACTATGAATCAAACAATAATCTAAAAAAAATAAAACATAATATACTTCTTTTTATTTTAAAAAATAGTATCCTACGTTCTATAGTTTAAAATAAATTTGGTCTTATTTCCCTACACACTCCTTAAAATTATATAAATTTATAATTTAATAGTCAAATTTAAAAAAGGTCCTCAACAGTTTTTTTTTATCATTCTGCTCATAAATAATTTTTAAATACACAAATTTTTTGTTAATAATTTGAGTCCCAACATTATATTTTTTTTTGAAAAAAACTGATTAAAACATTGTATTTCCGGCTAACAACAGCATGTTTAAAAAAATATTATGTTTTCGAGTTTTAAGAATTTTAATTACTTATATGATAACTAAACATTAAATAAAAAATACTAATAAATTATAAAATAATAACAATAAGTAAATATACAATTGAATAATACAGATACATGTTTCAAAAACTCAAATGCCGAATTAAAATTGTACTGAAATTTCGGTGTTGGTCAAGGTTACAGTTTATCGAATAAAAATATATTTAGGTTTTCATAACTTTAAACAAAACGGAACAAATATATTTTAAAAAGATGTTATTTTTTAATTAAACAGATTTGTTTTTACACACTTCAATTCCAACTATAAATATAAAAAATTTATATCTTGTTCGACATATGTACTTTTGAATATGAAATGTTTTGTGGTATTAAATTAAAGAAATTTTAATGATCTAAATAAAATATTGGCTTGAATATATACGAGTATAATGTAGTTTATGATAAAATTGATAAACTAATTTTTCTAGTAGAAGATCGATCAGGTAACTGAATACTGAAATTCTTTCCGTTGAATCGATAAAAAGACTATTAAGGTCAAATATCTAGAAAGTTTGAAACCAATAACCTTTGTAATATTACCGAACTTTCCTTACGTCTTTATTTCATTTGTATATTATTTAAGTATGACGATACATAATACTGTTTTATAATGTTATGCCATTAAGACTCAATTACGACTTAAAAGGAAATAATTATAAAGCAGTCGTCTCTGACATATTAATCTGACAAATTAATAGCAATAACATTTATTTATTAATATTATGTTTATAAATTAATGTGTTTTTATTGATTTCTTAATTCATATTGTTATATTATGTTCTTTTTTTTAGTCAGACGATTGTCATATTTTGTGACACGAGTCAAAGGGACACTTGTAAANTGGAAATTGCAGTATTCACAGTTAAGTTATTTAACAAATTAATAGCAATAACATTTATTTATTAATATTATGTTTATAAATTAATGTGTTTTTATTGATTTCTTAATTCATATTGTNAATCTGACAAATTAATAGCAATAACATTTATTTATTAATATTATGTTTATAAATTAATGTGTTTTTATTGATTTCTTAATTCATATTGTTATATTATGTTCTTTTTTTTAGTCAGACGATTGTCATATTTTGTGACACGAGTCAAAGGGACACTTGTAAATTTGATAAGAATAATAGTGGTCTGAATGATAATAATATTAGACTAATATGAAAACGCGGCTTAAAATAGCTAAATATCGACGGGAGTTATAATCCTTTATTTTGTGAAAGTGTGTATAAAATATTAAAAGGTATTTCAAAAGATGATATTGGACATTATGCATTTCAAATGGCCTAAAGAGATTATTTATACGGCTTTCAAGTATTATCGATAAATGGAATTTTTTTTTGTATTTTCCTGAACATGAAATATAATTTTGCTTTACTTTTATCATCTCTTCAATTTCTTTCAAAATCTTTCAATATTTTTAGGAAAGTGTATTGCACATGTGGAAAATATTTTTGATAAAATTATAAGAAAATAATGTTTTTAACTATTCTGTTTATTTTAGCTTCGATGCGAAGCTAAGAAGGTATTAATTTTACCATGATGTGTTCTTTTTTTTTTTTTATGTTTGTTGCCACTTTTTTTCAGCTCTCACTGGACCGAATTCTTTCAACAATACGTCAAAAGATCACAAATCGTATTTAGTTGAAGACATTACCATTAAAAATTGAAAAAATTTCCCTTTTTCCCGCAAATGGGGGAAATATACAAAAAAATTACAAATTTAAAAATCGGTAAATTTTGTCTTTTTTTCTTAAAACTTCTATAACTTTTTCAAAAATAAACAAATCAACATAATTTTTTTTTATAATAAAACCTTAGATATTTCCCTTTCATTTGATATCATTTTTTTGAAAATCTAACACTTAACCTTCTCATTGGGAAGGATTTAAAATGGCAACTTTTTTACAATAACTAACTTTTTCAACTTAATTTTTGAAAATGTTCCGGAAATAGAGCGTCCTTTAAACATATATCAAATTAAAGCTTATTTTATGTACTATAAAATGAAAAAAAAAATTTGTCCCGACATTTAATCTTCTGCATGTAAACGGCTAACCTAGTTAAATAAACGTTACTTAGTGTTAAAATTTTTGATTTTAAATTTTCAACTTAAAAATGCTATAACTTATCGAAAAATGTAAGTATCAGCAAAAATTTTTTTTTTTCCTAAATACATTATAAGTACATCTTTCATTTGACATACATTTTATTGAAATTGGACAATTTCCCCTTATATAGGGGTCGTTCAAAACTTGAAACATTGTATAAAACATAGAACTTTTTCAACTGAACTTTTGAAAATGTTCCGGAAATATTGCGTCCTTTAAACAAAAGTTTAAAGTTCATAAGTCATTAGAAAATTAAACTTATTAAAATTTTTTTATTTTTTTCAAGTCAAAATAGTAATTTTTAAATTTGAGTTAGCTTAAATAGCTAATTTTATCAAGCTGCGGAAGCAACGAACCGTTGTCAAATCAGTAACACAAATGTCTTTCATGCTTACGGTACGAGGTTCAAATCCTTCAACGGCTATTAATATTTTGCATTTTTTTTGAGTTAGAATAAAATTTTCAAATCATCTGATATTTATCTCATTTAGATTCAATAACTTCAATAAATATAAAGGATCCTATCACTATAGTGTCCCCTCGTGAGAAGAAATTTATATTCATATTAATATTATTTTACTATGTGGTTCTTTTTGTGGATACGATACATTTTGCCAACCCTCACTAGACCTACTTTTTACAACGATACGTCAAATGATTACAATTCGTATTTAGTTTAAGTTATTACTCTTAAAAATCGAAAAAATATTCCTTATTCAAATAAAAAGTAGCTTAACCAGCTTTTTCCATACAAACAATTAAAATCATTAATTTCTAATATTCTTAAAGTATTTATTGTCAAATTAGATTTGATATGATAAAAGTATTCAACTACAAAAGTAAATAATTTTACTTTGTAATTTATTAATTTTTTAAATCTATTTGTGTGTACTACTACCAGTCTATAATATTCCAAATTTTTTTGTAACATGTTACTATATAAATTATAAATTAAAAAAAAAAATGATTTTTAGTTTCACCTGAATTTAACGATGGATTTTTACAATTATAATCAAATTTTATAATACGCTCAATTGAGTAAATATTTTTAACAACTTTTTTTTATTGGTTTTTTTAGATATATAATCATTAAAATTAATTGAATTCTAAATATTTCCATTGTAGAATCTTTTTGAACGCCAAAAGTTAATTAGAAATGATTACTATGATTTTTATTTAAGTGATCTATTACGATAAAAATGTAAAAAAAATCGAACTTTACTGATAAATGTACTGTAAATAGTAATTATAAAATTTCCTGATTGCATATTAATCTTAACAATTTCATTTTTTTCTATTTAATAATGTCAATTTCAAACTTGCAAGTTGAGCTAGAAGTTATGGTAATAAATTCATTTTTTTTTTTATTAAAACTTTCACTTTTAAGGACAAAAAAAAGTAGGTTCAAAATTATTACTTTTAACATATTAAAAATCAAAATCAATAATAATTTGAAAACAATTAATTTTAAAAATTATATAATATATAATTAAAAGAATTACTAATCTGGGTATAATTAAGGAAATAGAAGTTGATGTTGCTTTTATAATGATACATCAATTTCTTAGAATTAAACACTATTTACAGATTTGCATCGAAGCGTTTCTTATGATAGTGATTTTAATCACTGTCAGATTAAATCTATACTGGACCCAACTATGCAACGTCTCCACTATGCCGCGACCCCACTGTGCTGGGTTTTTTTAAATTTGTTTTGGTATAGAAATTTTTTTTTGCTAAAAAAAAGACCACATAACAGGAATTTGTTTTTAATTTTAAATTTAATTGCGGTTTACATTGGTCTAACTCTTATATGATATGTTTATTTTACAAAGAACAATACAAATAATTGTTGAATGCCCGTTAGTTCATTTGAAAACATATTTCTTTTACAGATATTTGTATGCCTGTGTGTACCGATAAGCTTTTGTTATCGTGTTGTTCAAACAAGCTAAATGATTATTTTTCTAGACATTTTGATCCAATTTAATAATATTTAAGTACACGTACTTCGAACAACCGTAATTCCGTAATTTATTATGCATATAGTAAATAATTTGCTTTGTGCCTTTTGGCCGCCAACGCGTAGTGGCCTAAAAAAATAATTTTTAAATTGATCCCTACGACAACGCCAACTTCCACGTGGAAAGCAAACAGACATTGAGATTTCGCGTAGTTACCGAATAAACAAATGGAAAATAAATATTTATTTAGCAAATATTACGCATTCAGAAAAAATCTTTAAATCAATGAAATGACATTTTTCATTTAAATTGTAATGTTTAGTGTTGAATTAACAACAGATTTTATTAACTCAATGGTAATTTCATTGATATTAAGACAAGTTACATCATTATTTCAAAAATATCGCATTTACTCGCATTTAATCGTATAAATATTTTATTTGATTTTTGTATAATTTCTTATTTTTTCAAATCATTATGTCGCTGAAAAAATAACAAATTATTATCATCACAATTATCATTCAAATGTTATTTATAAAGAAAAGTATTGTTATTATCATACCAAAATCATTTTTTAAGCTATTCTGTTACTAATAAATAATTATTTTTAAAATTATTTACTTAAATGTTAATGTATTTGTGTAATCTAAAAGCATTACATGTTTTGTATTTATCATTTAAAGTATTTTATTTTTTCGTCTATTTTCAATATGTGTTTTTTAGTATTTAGAATACATCAAAATTTTATATTACAAAATATATTTATAAAAAAATACGTACATATATTCTGTAATTATGAAATTTAAGCATAAAAAGTAAAAAAAACTATTCAGTCTTTTTAAATCAATAATATTTTACTATATGCATTATATTAAAAAAAATACGTAATATATGTTTTTGAACATCATATTCTATAACAAAACAAAATTTCTTTATGTAAGTTATTTCTAAACTGTGAAATTGACTAAAGTCTCTTGTTTCCTGGGCGAGAGATTCCCGACTGAGGTAATCGTAAAAAATTCCATTTGAGTATCTTAAAAAGTTGTTAACATTAGCAATTTTAATAATATTAATAATAATACTTTTGTAAAATGCTTGTTTTTCGTATTGCTAATAATATTAAAAAACAAGGGCTAAAATAATACTATATATATTACACAATATGACGATGAATGTAATAATGATTAACCAAAAAACATTTTTTTTGAATTCCGTTTAATTATGAATTACTTGTATTAAAATTCAGAAAATTAGCTAAATATTGAAAGTTACATAGTTGCCAAAATAATTTAAACACATTTAAGTAATATTAATGATACTTCCTAACAAGTTATAAAATTAATAGAAGAAACTAACACACGTTTCACTAAAAATGAAAATCAAAAGCAGTATGTGTTGAAAGTAAGTTTTTTAATAATAGTTTATTGAAAAATCTAAAGTTACATTGTAATTGTTATTTATTAGGTAGTGTAGCAATATCGTAATAATTATCCTAGCCATAGAAAAAATATTTCAATCAAACATGTTGAAAAATAATTACTATACACTGTCACTATAACTGTGTTTATATTTTACTTGTTTGCAATGAAAACAAAAACTTAAATATTTTTTTTCAAAAAAAAGAGGCTAGTATTTAAAATATGGTTTAAGAAACTTATTTATATTACACCGAATATGATGTTCAAAAACAAATCTCACGTGTTATTTGGAATATCATCCATCTAGTAAAATAATATTAATTTTGAAAAAATCAAGTGATTTTCTTGTACAGTATTCACAGTAAAAACTGTTTTATTATATAATAGATTGACATAATAAATACTTCTACAGAGTGTCAAAACAAGTACAAAATATTGATTTTTTAAATTATAAATGCGTGTTTTTGTTGTCTAACACGCACATGGATATATTTTGAATTGTTTATGGAAAAATAACATATTAAAACTTCTATGTAAATGTTTTCCGAATTTATAAAAGCCATAAAATAAATACTCGAACATATACTTCTTTAATTTTTCAAAATTGCTTCGAAACTTTTATCGTAGAATATAAAATGTATAAATTTTATCAAATTCATCTCTGTGATCATTACTTAATACAATACTAGTTCACTGGTATCATCAATTAGTATAACAAACCTAATTGTAAATTGTTACTTTTTTTTTTTAATTACAGAATTCCACAAATATCAAAATTACAATAAATTACAGAATCACCATTAGAAAAAAGTTTACTATAATTAAGAATTTTGCGTTTATCCTGCTCTTATAATTATATAATATTCCTCCATCTTTCTAAAACCACAACAAGATCATATAATACTGCGAAATCCTAGATTCTTTCTCCAGCCTCAATCTTCCCACTAAAACCATACCATTACTAGGTATTCCTTGCATCTCCTCATCTCTCTACAAAACACTTTTATCTATTTCAACACATACTACTTTAGGTGCATAGGCACTTATTATATTCAACACTTTTTTCTTGAAAATTAATTTTACGACTATAATTCTGTCACTTTTCCTAACTACCTCTACTACTTTACTTTTCATCTCCTCATCCATTATTATCCTTACACCTTTCTTCATATCGGTATTACTTGAGTATATTATTTTATAACCCTATCTTGTTTCCCTTCCTTCCACTTAGTTTCCTATATACAAGAAGTATTAACTTTTCTCCTCTTAAATACTTCTTTTAACTCTCTACTCTTACCAGTTAATGTTCCAACATTGCACGTATCTTTACTTTTTTTGTATATATGTTGATACTTGATAAAATGCATATTTTTAATCGCGTTTATCATAAAATCTTTTGTGTTTACGAATTTGTCTAAGAATTACAAGCATTTTGATGAAAACAATTTTTTATTTTCTTTTTTAACATTTATTTTCTATTGTTTTAGGAAGGCAGAATAGTGTAATCATATACAGGTCGCATCTTTAATTACTACAACGGGTAGACAGGTTGAATTCATAAAAGTAAATAAATAGGGGAGATCGATATGCCAAACTAAGTTTTAATCGAATAATTTACAGGAAAATTAAATTTGTAATTATATTATGAACAAATTTGATTAGTAAATTTAATTATAAATAAAATTTTTAATTATTTTTCTATCAGTTTATTGTTTTATTTTATCTTGTCCTCATATAAAATGTCAAACACAATTTCTTTATGCAATAAATTGATTATAAACTCTTTGAAAATTAAATAAAATATTTTTATATATCTAATAATAAAGTAAAATAAATTAATATATTAAAAATATATCAATTGTAATTTCATTTTTTTATGATGGGAGATCACTCCACCTACACAATAAAAACTGTTTCTGTTGTATTGTATATATCTGTGATAAATTTTCATGAATTTATGTGTCTCATAAGTGGGCCAAACAAATTTTATTAATTAATGTATAAAGTTCCGAACCCTAGGCCATAAACATTACTACATTTTGTATGTCGTTTTTTTCGTGGTACCCCTAACTATTACAATATTTCAATAAGTCAGCTCACTATATAAAATAATAAGTTGAATGTTATTATTACTTTTAGCTTCGATGCGAAGCTGAGAAGGTATTAATTTTACTATGATGTATTTTTTTTTTATTTATTTTCCTTTTAATGCATCTATATATTATTTGGATAAATATTTATTTAATAAAACAAATGTGGTTAAGGTTTGAACAATTTTATTTATTGTTCAATTTTAAGGAATTGATGATTATAAAAAGTAACTGTATTGTAGTAACAGGTATATAATATAATTAACACATAAAAATTTGACACTAAGACAATTAATTCTACTAAATTATTACAAAGTTATAATGCCGCATTTGAAAATTGTTATTCTTATCTATTCAGTTTGTTTCTTAGCTTCTATTGTAGTAAGTAACGTTTTTTCAATTTAAGATTTTATTTTTCAGATTATTATCCAAACCTTATATTATTAGATTTGTAGTCTCAGCGAAAAACAAATTATGGATTATGATAAATTATTATTTAAGACTTATGACTTTGAGACTCTAAATAAAAGTTTAATGGAAAAATATGGTGTGAAAGAAACGTTTACAAATTATCTACATTTTGGTAATCACTTTAAAAATTACTTATAGTTTTGATGTTTACGCTATCATAAGAATAGGCATTTAAACGTGTGTATTTTAAAACTACAATAACTTTTAAATCACTGATCCTCATGAAATTATAGTAGATTATACCCAAAATATAAACTTTCTTTGGTTATACTTTTTGCGAAAATCTGATAAAAAACCTGAGTACAGGGTGGGTTTGAAAAAGAATACACACGCATGTAAATTTATATCTTTGTTGAAAACTTCTTTTTAAACCTATATCAAATTTAAAATTTTTGAGACTAATTTACTATAAAAAACCCAGCACAGGGGGGTCGCGGCACAGTGGTGACGTGGCATAGTTGGATCAAGTATAATGATATCTGACAGTGATTAAAATCACTATCAAAAATAAACGCTTCGATGCAAATCTTTAGATAGTGTTTAATTTTAAAAAAATTGGTGTTTTATTCCAAAAGCTACTTGATCTGCTGGTTCCTTATTAATATCTCGATTAAGATAAAGTATG